TGTGGGAGCCAATGAGTAATTCTTTTTGACCTCGCCTCAGCTCATCTGCTCTCAGACCAAGCCCATCCAAGGCAAAACCTAGAAAAGTTATTTAACTTCGACAAAATATCCAAGAAAAGAATTTAGGTATAGTTAATAAAGCACCTTTTTTTACACTGGAGAATGGAAAATAACGTATTTCAGCTTAAACGCTGGCTTTTTGAGAAGCACAAGAATTTCTAATATTTCGTGTTTATCATAAGGTGAGAAGACAATATGATGGATGTAGAAGATAAATAGAAAGAAAAAACTAAAAGTACCTTCATTGCGTGAAACTGCTAATAAGTGATTTGAAAGCAAGTGTAAGCAAAGAATGAGGGAGAAGAAAGTCGTAGGGTGATGAAGACCTCTTTTCTCATATTGATTTATATCTTAGCGATTGTAGATGCTATTTCGAAATTGCATTTTATTGGATGTGACCTTAGCATAAAAGAAGGGAATACAGATATTAAACACAAAGAAAAACAAAAAATGAAAACGAGCAAAATTCTCGCGGCTGTGTTAGCAATGATCATGTGCAAGATGAAGGTAGCCCTCTCTTATCTACAAAAAGGAAAGTAATTTTGTACCAGATATGAAACAGAAACTGACTGGAACTAATTTATGGCTCAAAAAGAATAAATAAAAGTGTTAGGCATATCAAGAAATTTTATAATCATTTACAAAAAAAATGTCATTAAGAGTGTATCAAATATGAAATCAGACTAATTGGGCTGCAACTACGAAAATTTGGTTGAAAATGAAAGTAGATAGATGTCGGACGTATAAGAAGATACACCATGTAAATGAAGTCCTTTATGATGATGGATGCATAGTCCCACTTCAAAAAAATGTTTTACCATAGTTTTTGAATAAGTTTGGAAAAAAACACCTCTCAAGATAAAACTTATGCCTACGACTTGGTTGCAAATATATAAGAATGCATGAACGAAGCGAAGGAGTCAGTCTTTGCACTGATATTTAACAGATAAAGCAACAAAAGATCTTCAAAATATGTTTACTAGAAAGTTCGTTCAAAACTTACTAATGAAGAACTGCACAATTCCTTCTGGCAAATCGAGCAGTGAATCTCTTCCAAAGTTCTGTAATCGCACAGCGTAACGCCGGATTTCTGGGGGATTTGAATGGAGCTGTAACTAAGTAAACTACTGACAATGTTAAAAAAATGAGAAGGGAAACATACCTTTAGCAACACCCTTCGGAAAAAGTCGATCATAACAAGGTATTCACGACTTGCTGCTCTAGTCGGTGGGGTAAAATGGCGTAACTCATTGGTCATATCTAATTCCTGCAAAGAAAAATGAAGAACTAAAATAGTTGTCACTCAAAATTGACTATCTAACCACAAAAGGAGGATGCGCAGGCAAAATCCAATGTTGTCTTTGATTATCCAAGCAAAATT